ACCTAAAACCATACTGACAATCAGAGAGGATTTTATGTTTGTCAATAAATGTATCTAATCTGTTATTAAAGAGTTTTTCCAGAATTTTTGAAAATTGTGACAACAGAAAAACCGGCCTATAATTCGTGAAGTTGTGTTTATCACCAGATTTATACAGAGGAATAACCTTTGCAATTTTCATATTGTTAGGGAACTGCCCAAGTCAAAATGACATGTTAAAAATGTGTTAATGGTTTGCATATCTCTTTAATTACTCATTTAACAGTTGTCATGGTGATGCCATCACTATCACTTGATGTTTTGTTATCACATTTATTTACTATCTCTATAATTTCCTTTTCAACTATGGGCTTCAAGAACATAGAACTCATGTTCTTTTCAATTGTATTATTATTTCTAGTGACGGCTGAAGCATCTGTACAAATACTTCAAAACCAATCGTACCAACTGTACAAACCAATCAAATCAAATCAATACTGCAGGTCCTCCTTCTGGAAGGTGACAATGTACAGTTTGGTTCAAACCATTTCAAAGAGGTGTTATATGCTCATACAGCAGGATGTGAGCTGTAGAACTGTAATGCAATACAATAAATTATGTCCTGTAAAATGACCATCAAGTTGAAATAACACCTCTCTAAAGCATTTAAAATAAAACTCATCATAGCCTCAGTGAATGTAGAAGGTCTAGGGCTGTATTAGCAAGGAGTATCAAATAAACTGGGGGATTGAGTGCATTTTACTAATTATCTTGCAACCTGTACACAACAATCACAGCATCAGCTGATGAAACAAAGGACCACATTTACCTGAGCTTCACAGAACAGAGCAGGCCATCTCTCAATGAAGTCTTGGATGGGAGGGCAAAGCTTGGCTACTTGTAGTCTTCGATAGGAGAAGGATTTCTCCATTTTTTCACGAATTATCTTGTCATTGTTTTTCTTCATTATTTCCTTGAGCAAGTCCATTCTTTCCATCTCTAATATTTTACACACCCATCTCATGTTGTGAGCACCTGGAGGGGAAAAAAAAGTCCCAAAACAAATCACGTTACTAAAATACGTTACATAGAACATGTCAAACTGAATTTATAAGTACTAATTTGATCAACTTACCCTGCACCAGCTGTTAAGACCAACTTGCTGATCAAGTCAATTTCTTAGAATGATCTGTAAAATATATCAGGTACAATGTATCAAATGTAATATGCATATAAAGAAACGACGCTTGCAAAAACACTATTCTCCAACTGATATACACATTTGAATTTGAAAAGAAAGCGAGTAATTACTTATTTTGGGTGGGATTCTAAAAGGAGAGACGTTAACAATGCAGATCACAGAGCCACTAATGATGGTAAAATAACTGCACAATACGAACCTAACTTTACAGCACACACTTGACAATTTTATCTGCCGACTGGCAGCAGAGACAGAGCCAGACTGGAAATATGTAAAGTTAGATGCGACCAGCCATCGTGACAGATCATTATCAGCTGTATAGAAACCACTCACCATAGCCTCAGTGAATGTAGAATGTCTAGGGCTGTATTAGCAAGGAGTATCAAATAAACTGGGGGATTGAGTGCATTTTACTAATTATCTTGCAACCTGTACACAACAATCACAGCATCAGCCGATGAAACAAAGGACCACATTTACCTGAGCTTCACAGAACAGAGCAGGCCATCTCTCAATGAAGTCTTGGATGGGAGGGCAAAGCTTGGCTACTTGTAGTCTTCGATAGGAGAAGGATTTCTCCATTTTTTCACGAATTATCTTGTCATTGTTTTTCTTCATTATTTCCTTGAGCAAGTCCATTCTTTCCATCTCTAATATTTTACACACCCATCTCATGTTGTGAGCACCTGGAGGGGAAAAAAAAGTCCCAAAACAAATCACGTTACTAAAATACGTTACATAGAACATGTCAAACTGAATTTATAAGTACTAATTTGATCAACTTACCCTGCACCAGCTGTTAAGACCAACTTGCTGATCAAGTCAATTTCTTAGAATGATCTGTAAAATATATCAGGTACAATGTATCAAATGTAATATGCATATAAAGAAACGAGGCTTGCAAAAACACTATTCTCCAACTGATATACACATTTGAATTTGAAAAGAAAGCGAGTAATTACTTATTTTGGGTGGGATTCTAAAAGGAGAGACGTTAACAATGCAGATCACAGAGCCACTAATGATGGTAAAATAACTGCACAATACGAACCTAACTTTACAGCACACACTTGACAATTTTATCTGCCGACTGGCAGCAGAGACAGAGCCAGACTGGAAATATGTAAAGTTAGATGCGACCAGCCATCGTGACAGATCATTATCAGCTGTATAGCAGTTAAGTGTGTGCTGGCTTTCGCAACGTGCCACTGAAATAATTAAGCAACATTACAGTGCCTTGCGAAAGTATTCGGCCCCCTTGAACTTTGCGACCTTTTGCCACATTTCAGGCTTCAAACATAAAGATATAAAACTGTAATTTTTTGTGAAGAATCAACAACAAGTGGGACACAATCATGAAGTGGAATGAAATTTATTGGATATTTCAAACTTTAACAAATAAAAAACTGAAAAATTGGCCGTGCAAAATTATTCAGCCCCCTTAAGTTAATACTTTGTAGCGCCACCTTTTGCTGCGATTACAGCTGTAAGTCACTTGGGGTATGTCTCTATCAGTTTTGCACATCGAGAGACGGAAATTTTTGCCCATTCCTCCTTGCAAAACAGCTCGAGCTC